GAGGGGCCCAAAACTGAACACAGCACTCGAGGTAGTTTTCCATCGGCAGGTTTGGAGGAGGTTGGCAGAAGCTGGTGGCCACCAAAGGATGTGGGTAATGCCAAAACGCGCCCAGGAAGCAGCTCTGTTGAGCTAAGCAGTGTCCTTCCCCCTTCAATTTTCAGTCGTACATGTCTGCGAGACCATCAGGGCTCTTAGCGTTCATTACCCATCTCCTCAGATGCCTCAGCAGCCCTTTCATACCCATCTCCTCAGATGCCTCCTGACACCTCAGCAGCCCTTTCATCTGAAGGAGCCGGGTTTTTCACTCACTTATTATCGTATTCTGATCTGAGAAAATTACTGTTTGCTTTAATTATGAAAAAGCCCTTTTTTTGCCTTTTTTTTTTTTTTTTTTTGGCTTAACTGGCATGAATAATTCAGGCTCAAACGTGAGTGCTTAATCCATTGGGGAGATGGCAAGCGATGCTTCGGGTTGCTTATAGAGGAGTTTGTGGCTCCCCCGGCACAGCCGAATAGCCTCTGTGCCCTGCCTGTCCCTTCACACCAGGGACAAGTCACCGCTCCTTACCTTGAATTAAGCCGCAGAGCTGGGCTCTTCCCACCCTGGGCAAGGCTTACTCCCTAAAATACTTTCCTTAACCCCCTAAATTTAAGCAAAGTGGAGGTTTATCACTCTGCATAGCCTTAGATCATTAAACAGGAAGATCTATCAAAACAAAATAAATTGATTTTTGTGCATCAAGGGGAAAAAAATTGCAAAATGACACAGGGGAGCAGCAGTGAACAAATCCACCGTAAAGAAGAGGTACAAAAAAATTCACGTGAAGCTCAGCCTGATGAGGGGGATGCGCTGCCAAGGAATACATGTATTACAGAAAATAGCGCGGCGCTCTGGAGCAGAGAGGGGGGAAAAAAAAAAAAGCCATCAAGGTGTTTGAGTTTTTTTTCCAGCATAAAATAAGTTTCACGGTTTAAAAATCGCATAATGACCCACCCAGCTATAATTACAACGCCGCAACTCTGCTCCAAGTATTGGCAGAAGAAAGCAGAGCTGCGGATATGAAAGGCTCTTGGTCATTTTGGTGGCCAAAAGAAAAAGAAACTGTTCTTGGTAAACTCTATTTTTGGGGGGGGGGGCTTTTCCAGCCCAAAATATGGTGATTTGTAACAAAAAGCTGAATCCATCATCTTTTAACAATGTTAATGGTGAGGTTTTTGTATCGGTCTTGTTCCTCAGTGGATTCACGTTGGAACCGTCCATGAGACCTGCACCTTTTTTTTTAAAGTAAAAAAGAAACATAAGGGAAATGTAAAGCAAAACATCCAAATTAATGGAAATTGCAAAATAGGAGGGTGCCTGGCGATGGCTGAGAGCCGTTTTGCAGCACATCCAACAAGGGCAAAGAGCACAGTGCTCTCCCGTTAGCCTGGTGAGGGCTCCTGGGCATTGCAACACCGGGAATAAAATAGGGGAATAAGTCTTTGAATACCAGTTTAGCACCCCAGCAGGGTTGTTTTAGCACTGGGAGAACTGGAGGGCGGTGTCCATATTTTATATTGCGGTGTTTACACCTTGCCGAGGCATTTGAATAGTCGTATAATTTACTATGATTGGATGATGTTTCTGGTTTGATACAAGCCTGGAGACCGGCAGGAGAGGGGTTTGTTGCTCATCTTGCCGTGGCTTTCGCCCCTCTCTGCCGCCCCGAATTCCCCGGCAGCCAGGGATGCCGGGATGGATGCTCACCCCGGTGCTCTCTTTTGCAGAAGTGCCGGCGGAAAAACTGGCCACCATGGCATCGCTGCGGAGCCTCAACCTGCGGGAGAATCCCGTCGGCCCCGAAGTGCGGCTCCTCGTCCGGCCCCTCGTCCCCTTCGACCTGCTGCTCTCCCCGGAGGAGCCCGTCCCCAAAGCCTGAGAGCATCTCAGGGCTCCTGGGCGAGCTCTGCCGAGGGGCGACTACCTGCAAGAGTGGTTGGGTTTATGTCAGTCCCTGCTACGCCCCCGTTTTTATCCCAAACCTGCAGCAAGGCAGCCAGTCCCTCTTGGTTTTGGTGGTTTTTTTTATTATTATTTCCTTACTAAAAAGCAAGCAGCGGGGTTCCTCCGCGAAGGGACGGTTCTGCCAGCTCCCGAGCCAGGGAATCTCCCGCTTTGTGTTTTGCCAAGCGCTTGGGGAGGGAAGCGGAGCCGGGATGCACGCGGTGCGAGTTTTGGGTAAAATTAGGGGAGTTGGATGCTTGGCTGCATCCATCCTGCCTGGCCAGTGATGAGGAGCATCTCTATTCGCGATGGTGGGGGACATCCCCGCGGCCGTAAGGGTTCCCCCTTGAATTGCTGATACGGCAATATGCCAAACGCCTGATTAAATGTTTTCCTGTCACGTGTGGGGTTTTTTTAATATCTACCTAAATCTGAGTTATCAGTCATCTTCTCCTTCTCTGCAGATCCCCGTGGGTGCTCGCTGCAGTTCGGGCTGGTGCCTCCGGCTGGATCCTGCCGAGACCTGAGCAGTATTTCCCTGGATTTTTCCAGGGAAATTGTGGGTTTTTTTCCCCACGTTTTTTTCCCCATGGAAATCAAAGCGACCCAAAGCAGGTCCCCACACACCACTCACCCCACGGGTGTCCCCAGAAGCGTGCACCCCCCTCCTGGGTGGTGTGGGTCTTCAAGTCCTGAAGCTTTCTTTCCAAGGAAGAAATGGGCTGTGGGGTTCAGGATACGGCCCGGGGAGGGTGGTTCCTTGGTGGTGGGGAGCCCACTGCCAGGCACGCTGGTGTCCCTTAGCAGCTGGATGCCTGCAAAAAAAACTCCTGGGAATCACAGGTGTATCTCAAACTGCCTTGTTCAAATGTCTCCCATGTTTGTTCCTTCGTGTTTTTAAGGGCCAAAAGCTTCCCAATCCTGGGGGCTGCCAGGAATGGAAATATCGGACTTCTAGACTTGCCCAAACCTGACTTTGGTTAAAGATTGTGGTAAGAGGGCGTTTGTTGACATTGGCAATGAGGAGCTGGAGTTGAGCGGAGCAGCTTTTGGGCCAGGACCAACACCCCTAAGGACCGTGCTGCTTTCCCCACCCGCGTGGGTGATTTACAATGGGGTGGAAGATGAGGGTCCTCCTCATTCATGTTGGGGTTCCCAGCATGTTTTCCCCCCATCCCAGGGACGGGCAGGAGCGCTGCTGGGGACACCAACCATCAGCTGGAGGGAAAAGAGGAACCAAGTGCCAGCATCAGCGTGGGGACCTCGGGGACGGCGAGGGGGACGCAGACCCCGACCCTCCCCCAGGGAACAAACCGGCTCCGGCTTTCCCCTTTGCTTCCCGTGGGCTTCTCCCCGTCCCCGTGCTGCCTCGGCTGTGGGGACGGGGGGGTTCGGTGCGCGTACCCCGGTATCCATGGTGATGGGAGGATGGGAGGCTGTCCCTTGCCCACATGCCGGCGATGCAGCCCCCGGAGCCGGGCTGGGATGGCGGAGGTGAGTACCGAGACCTGATTTATTTTATTTTATCCCCCCCCCAAAAAGGTGTCCACCACCTCCCGCCCCCAGACCCTTATTCCATCATCCCAGCCTTTCCCTGTGGCGCTTTCCCACGGCCAGGCAGGGAGGTGGGTGGCCCATCACCACCCCACCCCCGCAGGCTGGTCTCCCCCCATCCCCTCGTCACCACGTCCGAGATGTCAGCGCCGAACGGAGGACACCTCCATCCATCCAGCGCCAACCCGGGCGCTCGGGCAGCCTCTTATTTCCCTTTCCTCACCTTCCACCTCGCTTTTGAAACCCGCCTGTGACTCCTCATCCATCGGACACCCACCTCCCGCTAAATGCTGCAAGACACTGCAGCCCAAAGAGACAAAGTCCGGCAAAGTTTCGGGCTTAATATTGTCAGTTTCGGGCAACCTTGGCTATCACTTCTGCTAACGAAGCCAGTTTGCGCGGGTGCATCTGATGCCAACCAGCCGGAGCATCTTGCCCCAGCAGCCCTGATGTTTCCTTGCCTCTCTGAGAGGCTCCTTCTCCCGTGCCGGTGCTGCAAAACCCCTTCTCGGTGCCTTTCTGAAGCCCCACTGGAAACGTGGTGGCCGAATCCTGCGCCCAGAGAAAGGGTGTAGAGTCCGGGTAGGGCCTCCCTGATTGCCGGAGCCTCAGGGAAGCCGGTGGTCCCGGCATCTGGGAAAAGCATCTTGGCTGGCGAGCTGAGCACCGGCAGCGGCACGGGGATGGGGGGACGACAGAGCCGCCCACCATGCAGCGGCTTTGCAGTGCTTTCGCAGAGCGGGGCTGACCTGCGGGTGGGTTAAAGCTGAGCCTTAAAGCAAAAAAAAAAATGCTTCTTCCATCAGAATCTCCCCAGGTCCCAGATAATAATCATAATTACGTCTAATTATCCCTTTGTATGTAAGGGGAGGGCAGGGTCTCCTCTGCCCCAGCCTGTTTCCCTCGGGTGCTGCGGCTTTGCTGGGGAGAAGAAGATTTTAGGGGATCTCAAAGCCCAAGGAGAAGTGGCAGCAGACACCCCGGGAGCAGGGATGCTCCCAGCCTGGCCATGCCATGGACCACACGGACACTGCTCCCACACAGCCGGAGCGCTGCGGTGTCGGGACGTGGATTTCTCTTCCTTGCATCACGCCTAAAAAAAAAATCTCGTGAGAACAGGATGTCTTCAGGGCCACTTTAATTCCTCATTAGAATAATGATATAAAATAATAATGATATAAAATAATAATGATATAAAGTATTAATGATATAAAATAATAATGATACGAAATAATAATTCAGCCGAGGTGCTGCGGTACCTTGGGCCGCGTCACCCAACAAGGAGGAGACTTGTTGGGGTACTGAGATGATCCCAGCAGGACACGTCCCAGCCAGGCACTGGTATCAATATGAAAACCCACCTCTGAGGGCGTTAAGAAATGAAGGGAATAATCACTTTATCCTCTTCCCGCTTCATTTTCCTGCCTTCCCTTCCCCAGGCCCTCTCAACAGCAGCTGGCCCAACTCCACGGCAAGCAAGAGCCACCTCCTGAGGGAGAACTACACCTTCTCGGCATACTACCAGCACTCCTCCCCCGTAGCCGCCATGTTCATCCTGGCCTACACCTTCATCTTCCTCATGTGCATGATCGGCAACATCCTGGTGTGCTTCATCGTGGTGAAGAACCGCCAGATGCGGACGGTCACCAACATGTTCATCCTCAACCTGGCCATCAGCGACCTGCTGGTGGGCATCTTCTGCATGCCCACGACTTTGGTGGACAACCTCATCACGGGTGAGTGGGGCAGTGGAGGGAGAGAAATTGGTGGGGAACATCACCCACCTTCTGCCCCCCACGCATGTGGCCACCCGCAAATCTCTTGCCTATGGGTGCGTTTTTTGCTGAGGATAGGAGGTCAGGTGGTGGCCACTCAACCACATCTGATGAAAGGTATAATTTCATTTAGACCGACTATTTTAGGAAGAAAAGTCTTTTTTTTTTAAGGTTTTGGACATTTTTTGGCAAAATAAGTATGACCTTAACACTGCATTTACATATTTATTTAAAGTTCAGCTGTTCTCCACCAAGCAGCACTGAAAAAAAAACCCTCTTCTTCTCGCATCGATCTTCTCCCCGCACTGGCTCAGCTCTGCCCGTTGACCTTTCCAAAGATAAAAGGTGACATTGGCGTGGTTGGCGGATTTTAGCTGAAATGGTAGCCGGGGCACGGGACAGAGTCCGCATTTATTTATTATGGGGTGTGATTTATTTATTGCCAATGCCTCAGCAAGGGTCAAGAAACAAGGTGAAAGCCCTTACGATCAAGGATCCCAAGGTCGGTCCCCATGATAACAGCTAGAGCCCTATGCAAGGGTAGGAGAAACGACAACCATCATACTCCTTGAGTTTCTAAGAAGTGTAAAAAGTATCTTTTTTTACCAATGTTGTGTTTTTTCTGCAAGCATCTGTACTGCTAAAGGCCATGTCTTTATGAGCCAAAAACGCAGCCCCCCCTTAGGAGCAGGATTTAGCCTCCCCCAGCAACGACATGGTGGATGGAGAAATCTAGAGGGAGCTGCTGATGGACCCAGCTGAGCCAAAGGCACCTACAACTTCCATGGTGTCCCCTTGCAGGTTGGCCCTTTGACAACGCCATGTGCAAAATGAGCGGCCTGGTGCAGGGCATGTCCGTCTCCGCCTCTGTTTTCACACTGGTGGCCATCGCTGTGGAGAGGTAGGTTGGCGTGGGGTACATAGGGATAGAACTCCCTTCAGCACGTTTAGGTGTCCTGTGCAGTTTTCCATCATGGGAAGTCTCCCAGGGGCATCACGAGCGTGACTCCAGAAGGGCCACAAAGCTGTCCATGGGGCATCCTAGCAAGGTGACTTTCCCCACCTTGGGCTGAAAACACTGACACTGTAGAGATCCCAACCTATCTCTGCCACCAAAAGCCATATGTAAAGAGCAATCGATCTTACCCTCCCTTCCAACCTCCGGGTCTTGACCGCCCTCCTTCCCCAGCAACGTCCACCAGGTGCCCAAAGCCCATTTGCCCTCCTGCAGGTTTCGCTGCATCGTCCACCCCTTCCGCCAGAAGCTGACACTGAAGAAAGCCCTGGTGACCATCGCCATCATCTGGGTCCTGGCCCTGCTCATCATGTGTCCCGCTGCCATCACCTTGACAGTCACCAGGGAGGAGCACCACTTCATGGTGGACACCTACAATAACTCCTACCCCCTCTACTCCTGCTGGGAGGCCTGGCCTGAGACAGGGATGAGGAGGATCTACACCACCATCCTCTTCTCCCACATCTACGTGGCTCCCCTTGCCCTCATCGTTGTCATGTACGCCCGCATCGCCTTCAAGCTCTTCAAGTCAGCAGCACCTGACAGCGGCCAAGGGGAGCCTGAGGGGAGGAGGGTCTCCCGAAGGAAGGCCAAGGTTATCAACATGCTCATCATTGTCGCCGTCTTCTTCACCCTGTCCTGGTTGCCCCTCTGGACACTGATGCTGCTGACGGACTACGGGCGGCTGAGCGAAGGCCAGCTCCACCTGGTCACTGTCTACGTCTTCCCCTTCGCCCACTGGTTGGCCTTCTTCAACAGCAGCGCCAACCCCATCATCTATGGCTACTTCAACGAGAACTTCCGACGGGGCTTCCAGGAGGCCTTCAGGGCCCCCTTCTGCTCACCCCACCGCCATCGCCATCACCATCATGGGCCCTACACCCCCAGGAGCCACAGCCGCGGGATCCTCTTTGGCGCCCACAACCGTGTCTTTGCTCAGGCGCGGGCCAGCGACTCACCGCCTGCCTCCGAGTCGGGGCCGTTGGCGCCACGCCGCACTGGCGTCCCCGCGTGGGACAGTTGAGCAGCCACAGCCACCGGGCACCTCTGGACCAAGGGCTTGCAGGGTGGGGAACAGGGATTCGCCCCATTGTGGGCTGTCAGTCACTGAAATAAAGGTGCGTCCTGCTGACGCCATGTCACTGCCTTGGCTCCTCCACTTCCCCCAGCAGCGCCGTCCTGGATGAGGGGCAGAGTGGGGCCACCAGCTGAGCCTCCCAGCACCACGGGCACCTATGCCCTGCCAGCACCCGATTCATCCAGCCCCGGCCAGGGCATGTGGCTGGGGAGCACAGAGAGCGGAAAGTGGTGGGGCAGAACCTGTGCAAACGGGCTGTCCCATGACGTACTTGGCCACGTCATGGAGAACCACGCAGTCCTTTGCTGGACCACACCATGCTGTGCTTGACCATGTCACACCATGCTATCGTGGCCATGCTGTATCATGCCACACCATGCTGCTGTGGCCATGCTGGACCACACCATGCTGTGCTGGACCAAGCCATGCTGTGCTGGACCATGCCACACCATGCTGCTGTGGCCATGCTGGGCTAGACCAAGCCATGCTGCGCTAGACCATGCAATGCCACGTTGCTATGGCCACACTAGGCCATACCACGCCATGCTGGACCAATCCACACCATACTGCCATGGCCATGCTGGACCACACCATGCTGTGCTGGACCAAGCCATGCCATGCTGGACCATGCCACACCATGCTGCTGTGGCCGTGTGGGACCATGCCGTGCTGTGCTCGACCAAGCCATCTTCTGCTGGACCAAGCCATCCTGTGCAGGACCATGCCACACCGTGCAGCTGTGGCCATGCTGGACCACACCATGATGTGCTGGACCACGCCATGCTGGACCATGCCACGCCATGCTGCTGTGGCCATGCTGGAACACACCGTGATGTGCTGGACCATGCCATGATGTGCTGGACTATGCCATGCTGGACCATGCCACACCGTGCCGCTGTGGCCATGCTGGACCGTGCCATGCTGTGCTGGACCAAGCCATGCTGTGCAGGACCATGCCACACCGTGTGGCTGTGGCCATGCTGGACCACACCATGATGTGCTGGACCACGCCATGCTGGACCATGCCACACCATGCTGCTGTGGCCATGCTGGAACACACCGTGATGTGCTGGACCATGCCATGATGTGCTGGACTATGCCATGCTGGACCATGCCACACCGTGCCGCTGTGGCCATGCTGGACCGTGCCATGCTGTGCTGGACCAAGCCATGCTGTGCTGGACCATGCCACACCATGCTGCTGTGGCCATGCTGGACCACACCA